TATTTTTTTTACATTAGTTGTTCTTACTTCACATGGATGAAATTCTTCCGAACGTTGTTGACAATAATAATTCAATGGACGCTCCAATTGGATGTTCAACAATTATTGTCAACGAACCTGGAAAGGTGAGAATGTCCATTTTATCAATCGAAAAATGTTACAAATTATTTTTTTGTGTTTGTAGGAAGTGCTTGGTCATACTGAAGATGCTTTATCGGAAAATCTTAATAATTATTACTTCGTCTCTGCCCACATAATTAGCGATTCACCTCAAGGAAAATATAAAGTAACTGAAGAACGATTTACATCACTTTGTTATGCTGGTCATCTCCCTGGCTACACGATGAACTATAATCATCATGGTTTAGTGTTTTCGATTAACACTTTAAGTGCTCAAAGCTTAAACAGTGGAAAAACTCGTAAGATAAATGAAACCTTTGATTATCAGTTGAATATTTAATTTTTTTTCTATACTTAAGCTCGTCATTTCATAACAAGAGCTTTATTGTCAGCTGAAAATTTTGTTCAAGCCCAGAGAATTCTTCGTGACACAGGAGTTGGTGCAGCTGATGGTTGTTCAATTAACATGACATTCTTGAAGTAAGAAAAATGTTCGAAATGTGTAATAGAAAACATTTTAAAATTAAATTATTCTGTTACAGCCAAGAAGGCGATAGGATGTTTCATAACGCTGAAATGGGACCAGCAATCAAGCCAAATGATAAAGAATCACAACTGAATATTTTAACAGTCAGCCCAGGTGAACACATCATGCATTGCAATCGTTATTTGAGATTGAAAGTTCCTGAGGTGACAGGTCTGATAATTGATTCATCGATTGAGAGAATGGACACATTTAAGATCTTTAAGAGCCCAAAATGCAAAGAAGATGTTATCGATATGCTTGGCGATACAAGTGCCAAGGAGCATCAAGTTTTCAGAGACAAAGCTGGTGAAGAAGAATTTTTGAAGACGATTTGTGTTGGAATTTTCGATCTGAATAAGAAAACTTGGAGCATTTACAAAGACAATCCGAAAACAAACGAACCACTCATTGTTTTACCACTTTTACTGAAATGAATTTAAATTGATTATGTGCTCAGCCTTTACCAATGTTTTATGATGTAGCGTTGTAAATAAAAATTTGTTGCATTTTAAAAATATTTTTTATTTTGTGAATTTTAAATTGCTTTCTAAATATTTTGACAAATTTCAATTCTCAAGTAATTTGTGCAGTTTTTAACATCAACAAGACCATTATTCTTGAGAAAAACTAGAAATCTATTAGAAAGAGCACGAAATTCATTGTAGTATGATTATTAAATAACCAAAGATCATATCAACAGTCGTAAGCAAAAATGTCCAATCCATAATGAAAACTCCATAGGAGATTTGTGGTGGTCGATGATGAAGTTGCAAAGAAAGTAATTGAGCAAATTTAATAACTTTTGGTGATCTTTTTACTTTGTATTGGATCCGAAATACTTTTTCTTCGATCCCTCGTGTTTCTCTCTTTATGGAGTTTGAGATCGCGAAACATAATAAAAGCAATGAAAATGTAATTAACCATAAACTCGCTGTAGTAAGAAATCTTGTAAAATTTTTAGCAATTGGTGAAATAAAATAATGTATGATACCAAATGAAATAATTATGAGATAAAAGCAAGAATATGAATATGCTGACCAAATGGAAATGCCATAAATACTTCCAATGTTGTCTAAATTTTCACAAATCATGTTAATTATTTGTTTTGCTATCAGAATGTCTTCAATAAGTTCTGATTCCTTCATCAACGAAAACGAAGACTTTCTGATAACAACAGCAAGAAACTCATCCACACCCTGAAGGAGATATTTGATTGATAAAACAAACAAAACAAAGCTACACATAAAAAATTGGAAAGTTAGCAGGTACCAAAATATGAAAAGCTGGTAATTAACATTATATCGATCATTTTCTTTCGCTTTTGATATAAACAGAAAAGAAGAAAATGCTTCCACCATGACAATGGAAACGAAGCCGCAAAAGATTAAAATCCAACCTTGTTTTATTGTTTCAATTTTAGAATTAATGATCCTTCCAATGCGTGTCTTTTTTGACTAAAAACATTAAGAGTCATTAGAAATTAATCAATAAAATTATCATCAATATCTACCTCCATTTCGATAATCTTAAAAGTCGAGAGCAAGTTGAAGAATGTTTCAGACTTAAAATACTGAAACATTTTTGTGTATGTGTTGCTAAATAGAGTTGTATAAAGCATAAATCCACATAAAATTCCAATTATTTCCCTTCGCTGTTGTATCGAGACAGGTGCATGCTCGGTACTAAACATTTTCATATCAAATGATGACCACACTACGAAAGTTGGCATCAAATTTACAATAAACCAAACAAACTCCCATCGTGACTTTTTGAATTTTAATCTTTTATCTTGCGTGTATTCAATTGTCGAATACATGAAGCCATTAAGCTTCATAGTTATGAAGAAAAACTTGAAAATGTTGTCTCCGTTTTTCCAACTTGAAAGCTTCATGTTTGATACTTAAATGAACAAAAGTTTTATTCAATTAATCGTGTATTGCTTTGGAACATAAAATTTCTTCTAATTTATTAAATTAAATATGAGGTTTGATCTAAGTGCTTAACATCATTTTTATCTACAATAAATGAAGCTTAATCTATGTGAAACATTGTAGACACTTTTCTAATAAATGCGTATTGAAAATTCAAGATTATCTCCAAATTTGAGTTATTACCCAAATAAAACTAAAATATCACTGAAAACGACACAGAGAGTTGCAAAGAAGAATTTCCAATCCATAACAAAAACCCCATAAGAGATTTGTGTTGAACGATGCTCAAGTTGTAGGGAAAGCAATTGGGCGAATTTGACGACTTTTGGGGATCCTTTAAATTTGTATTGCATTTGAATTCCTAAATTTTCAATTGCTTGTGCTTCTTTCTTTATCCAATTTGAAATCATGAATAAAATTAAAAGACTTATGAATGTAACAAAAAAGGATGCTATTAATATAATAATGTGCGTTTGATTATGTGATATCAAATATTTTACGACACCATAAATAACAGTCATGCTTTGATAACATGTAACTGAATAAAGTGACCATACAGAAATGGAATAAAGCCTTCCAATGATGTCTAAAATTTCACAAATTATGTTAATTATTTGTTTTGATATTAAAATATCTTCAACGATTTCTGATTCTTTGAAAAGATGTGATTTCCCAATAAGTGCGGCGAGAAACTCATTTACACCTTTAAGTAGATATTTGATTGGTAAAATAAAAAGAACGAAACTGCACCAAAAAAATACACAATTTGAACCATGGATAAAAATCATTATCTTGGAAAAAATCAAATGTAAACTATTTTGCTCTGCAACCCATAAGACTTGAAATATAACATATGCTTCTATGATAATCATAATCATAAAAGCAGACAAAAGCAGAAAAAATACTTTTTTTATTTTATCAATTTTTGAAGCAATGATTTGTTCGATGCGCGTTCTTTTGGACTGAAAGTTTTTAAAGAAAATTTTGTTATAAATTTCATTAGAAAAATTTATCAGAAAAACTTAAAATTTACCTCAATTTCAATCAGTTTGAAGAACGAAAACATTTGGAAAGAAGATCGAGCCATCACATATTGAATTATTTTCGTACAAAAAGTTTTCATTATGTCTATTGAAATCATAAACGATGATAGAAAGGTGATTATGTCTAATTGTTGTCGTCCAGAAGAATCAAACCCAGCTGGTTTTACTTCCCCAGTTTTCAAAGACGATAATGCAGTGAAGATTGAAGGAATCAAACAAAAAACAAACCAAACTAACTCCCACGAAGACTTTTTAAATGTTAATCTCTTATCTTGATTGTATTCAATTGTCGAATACATGAAGCCATTAAGTTTCATAGTTATGAAGAAGAACTTGAAAATGTTGTCTCCGTTTTTCCAACTTGAAAGCTTCATGTTTGATACTTAAATGAAGAAAACTCTGAAATAATTATGAAAAGCATGAGATAATTGATTATTGAATACTTTTAAGGAAATTAATAGAATATATCAGAAGTTTTATTTCAATCAATTAATAGGCACAATATTCAAAAGATTTCACATGTTTCGAAATAAAAATAATCAATAGAAATTTTACATTTCTAACACTACATAAATATTTAGGTAGATAATTACATACTAAGTATTCCAATTAAATTCATTGCAACAAAACCAGAATGTCGCCAAGAATAACACAAAATGTTGCGAATAGAAATTTCCAATCAACAACAAAAAGTCCATAAGAAATTACCGGTGGACGATGATGAAGTTGTAAGGAAAGCAGTTGAGCGAATTTGATGATTTTTGGTGAGCTTTTCACTTTGTATTGGATCTGAAGTCCAATTTTCACAATTTCTTCCGCTTGATTTTTCATCCAAATGCTTAATCCAAACATTGTAAGAAGTATTAACCATACAATCAAAAACGGATAAATCATCATTAAGAAATTTTGATAACCCTCCGAATTTGGAGAAACTAAATAGTTTACTAAATAAGTAAAAACTATTAGTGATTGGAAGCATGTAATTGAATGATGTGACCAAAAGGTAACAGCATAAACCTTTCCAACATTATCTGAAATTTCACAAATCATGTTAATTATTTGCTTTGATAATAAAATGTCTTCAATCATTTCTGATTCCTTCAGAAGATGTGATTTCTTGATAATGCTGATTAGAAACCCTTTCAAACCCTCAAGCACAAAGTTAATTGATATTATAAACAGAATTAAGCTATAAGACATATAATAATAATATGAGAGATGATAAATCCAACACAATGAATTAATAAATTGAACAGAATTTTGATATGCTAAAAGCAACTGTGGGATTAGTAAAATTATAGAAGCACATAAAATTATTAAGCTCGCCATTTTCATTCTTTCAATTTTAGATGCAATGATTCTTTCAATGCGCGTTCCTTTTGACTGTAAATATTAAGATTTAAAAAAAGAATTAATAAAAATTGTCATTACCTCAATTTCGATAATTTTGAATAACGAGATTATTTTAAAGAAAGTTTTAGCCATCAAATATTGAAATATTCGCATGTACACGGTTTTCAATAAATTGACGCAGATTAAAAAGATTATCAGAAAAAACAATATTTCGCTTTTTTGTTCAACTTCTTCATTTAACACTTTCACTGAACTCAAAACTACTAAAGTTGGGATAGAACTTAAAACGAACCAAACAAACTCCCACCATGACTTTTTAAATTTTAATCTTTTATCTTGCGTATATTCAATTGTGAAACAGATGAAGCCATGAATCCTCAAAATTATGAAAAAGAATTTGAAAATGTTGTCTCCGTTTTTCCAACTTGAAAGCTTCATGTTTGATACTTGAATGAAGAAAGCTCTCAAGTAATTATAAAAAGCTAGAAATAGATGATTATTGAATGCTTTTTAAGGAAATAATAGAATATATCAGAAGTCTTATTTCAATCAATCAAATTAAAATAAAAGTTGGATATTAGACAACTGAACATTCAAAAGATAATTCACAAGCCTAGAAATACATAAAAATGATGAAGAGAAACTTTACATTTCCAACACTACAGAAATATTTATGTAATGAAATGCATACTATTTCAATTCCATTCATTACAATAAAACCAGAATATCACCAAGAATAAGACAAAATGTTGCGAATAGAAATTTCCAATCAACAACAAACACTCCATAAGAAATTAGTGGTGGACGATGATGAAGTTGCAAGGAAAGCAGTTGAGCAAATTTGATGACTTTTGGTGACGCTTTCACTTTGTATTGGATCTGAAGTCCAATTTTCACAATTTCTTCCGCTTGATTTTTCATCCAAATGCTTAATCCAAACATTATAAGAAGAATAAACCAGGACAGTAATAACGCAGTTGTCGTAACTAAGAAAATTTGATAATTCTCCAAGTTCGGATAAACTAAATAGTTTACTAAATTAGTAACAAACGTTAGGGATTGAAAGCATGAAATTGAATGTTGCGACCAGAAGGTAACAGCATAAACTTTTCCAACATTATCCGAAATTTCGCAAATCATGTTAATTATTTTCTTTGATACTAAAATGTCTTCAATCATTTCTGATTCTTTCAGAAGATGTGATTTCTTGATTATATTTACGATAAACGCTTCAACACCTTCAAGCACAAAGTTAATTGATATTATAAACAGAATTAAGCTATAACACAAATAATAATAATATGAGAGATGATAAATCCAACACAATAAACTGATAAATTGAACAGAATTTTGATAAGCTAAAAGGACTTGTGGGATTAAGAAAATAACAGAAGCACATAAAATCATTAAGCTCGCCATTTTCATTCTTTCAATTTTCGATGCAATGATCCTTTCAATGCGCGTTCCTTTTGACTGTAAATATTAAGACTTAAAAAATTAATTAATAAAAATTGCCATTAATACCTCAATTTCAACCATCTTAAATAACGAGAATATTTTGAAGGAAGGTTCAG